GTGATTGAAATTGAAATTAAAAAGATCTTCAAAACGAATCCAAACTCTAACTGCAATTGGCCCATTGACCAATACATGGTTAAGAGTTTCCACATGCTGGCAACAATAGCACTTAGAAACAATATGAAAGCCTTTTTTCTTGAGATTTATATCAACAGATATATAATTATAAATTACTCTCCAAGTAAGAATAGCAAAAGAATTGGAAATGGAATTATGCCAAATAACAGAAAAAAAGGGTTATGAGGTCTATTCTCTTTAAAAGTATACCACGCTTCCTTCAAAGCAAATTGACTATTATGAGACTTGGTAAAAAGAATGCAGTCCTCTTTATCACTTTGTAAAGAAGTTTTAATAATGATATTAATGATAAAATCAAGAATAATCTCCTTCAACAAATCAATATTCCACACCCCATTGCAAAATAAATTTTTAACTAATAAAGTAGAAATAGATCTAGTGTTAAGCAATTTGTCGATAGAATAATTGCCCAACCATTGATCTTGCCAAAAAAAAAAAAAAAAAACATCATTAAAAAAAAAAAAAAAAAAAAAAAAAACACATCATTATTGCCAATACCCCATTGAATGAATTCATCCATCTCCCCCTTGATGTTACAAAGCCTTTTCCAAATGGAGGAGTCACCCTATTTCGGGCTCGTGGGATGGTTGAACCCACAATACTTACTATGTAAAAACTTCGCCCATAAACTCTTATTAGATCTAAAGTTAAACCAAAGTTTATAAGTAAAAGTTTTACTCATATCCGCCAAATTTTTACAACCCAAACCCCCTTCCTTCAAGGAACCGCAACACTTCTTCCAAGATGCCCAATGAATAGCACCTTTACCATTTCTAGAGCCCCAAAAAAATTTGTTCAACATCTTTTCAAACTTATTGCACACAGAAATAGTAGGATTTAAAGTGTGAAAGAGATAAATAGGCAAAGCAGAAAGCACACTTTTAATTAAAACAAGCCTACCACCATAGGAAAGAAAGTTAAAAGCCCAATTATTAAGCTTTTTCCCCATCATTAAAGTGATACCATAAAAAAGATTGGACTTTCTCTTACCTTTGTAAAAAGGAGTACCCAGATAAGTGATAGGAAAAGTTAAATGAGTGATGCCAAAATTATCATGAATTCTAGCAATACGTTGGGAACTTATCAACTTACTAGTAATGAAGTCACTCTTACTATTGTTAATCTTTAAACCACTTAGACGTTGAAAATGCTCCAAACATTTAAAAAGCATTTTAAGCATTTTAATTGAGCCATTCATAAAGATAATGAAATCATCAGCAAAACTAAGGTGAGAGATAGGAAAACCCCCATAAGTAGCATAATTAATAGCAGGGTGAAGCATATACAGATTCTCCAAAGCTCTAGAAAGATACTCCATAGCAATGATAAAGAGGGCAGGGGTCTCACACTATGCGAAGAAGAAAAGAAACCATGAAAGCTCCCATTAATGATTCCAGAAAAAAAAAAAAAAACAGTTATTAATACTATTCTTCACCAAATTAATAAAAATCTCATTGAAACCAAAAAGATCCAGAATAGTGTACATGAATTTCCCAATTAAGATTATCATAAGCTTTGGTGATATCAATCTTAATAACCATATTACCTCCTGAAATAGGTTTGTGAATATCATGGATAAGCTCTTGAGCCAATAGAATATTATCAAAGATAGCACGACCTTTAACAAAACCAGTTTGCCCAGGAGATATAATTTTATGCAACATTAAAGACAATCTCCCCATAATAATTTTAGCAATTAATTTATTAAAAAAAGAGTAAAAACTGATAAGCCTAAAATCATCCTAATAGTTAATAGCATCTTTTTTAGGAATTAAACCAATAGAACTATAGAAGTATTAGAAAAATACTTAGGGTAAGGATTATCCTTAAAAAAAATTAATAACAGCTTCCATTAAATCATTTTTTGATAATAGGCCAAGTCTTTTGAAAAACTTTAGTAGAGAAACCATCAACACCAGCAGCCAAATCAGAATTCATCTTACTAATGGCATCCCAAGTTTCTTGTTCAGTAGGTAAAGCAGTAAACAACATGTTATCATTATCATCAATAAGACGAGGAATAAGAGAAGTGTCAATATTAAGCTGAGATCTGAAATCCTTGTTAAAGTTTTTAGAAAAAATACTCCACACCAGAGGCATAAATCAAATCAGGAGTATTCAAAACTAGACCATTTGGTTGACTAATTTTATGAATGTGATAAGAAACCTTTTTATGATTGGCAAGTGAATGAAAGAATTTAGTGTTTCTGTCACCTTCAGATAAAAATTTAGAAGCCGCTTTTTTGCTTCCAGTACATCTCTTCCTTCTCTTGTAACTTAAAAAGACCCATTTTGGCCTCATTAAGCTTAGAAAGATTCTCATTAGAATGGTCATTAATATAATTCATCTCCAAGACATTTATCTCATTTTCAGCTTCAGTAATATTAATAAAACTATTTGTAAAAACCAACTTATTCCACCATCTAAGCATTTGTTTAAGCCTCTTGAGTTTCATACAAAGCCTATTCATCCCAACAATGTTATCATTGGGATACACAGGGGAAGGCCAATTAGACTCCACAACGTTGAGAAAATCATTGTGCATTAACCACATATTATGGAACCAAAAATTAACATGCCTATTAACACTAGATAAATTGATATTCAGGAGCAGAGGAGAATGGTCAGACAAGGTTTTAGTAAGATGCTCAATATACGATAAGGGAAATTTATTAAGCCATTCATCATTAAAAAAAATTCTATCTAATCTTTGCCACATAGTACCTCTATTCCAAGTAAAAGCATTCCTAGAAAAATCAATATCATGCAAATTACAATCTAATATCATGTTATTGAAATCCTCCATAGAAAGAGAATTTGGGAGACGACCACCAATTCTCTCCGTCGAATTGGCAATAATGTTAAAATCAACACCAATGAACCACGGTTTGTCAATCGCCTCCGCAAAAGTCCTCAAATTATCCCAATGAGGGAACCTATCTTGACAGTTACAAGCAGCATAAATAAAGGAACCATAACAAATAAGATTTTGATACTCAATAAGAGTGTGAATCGATTGGGTATTATCTTGAATGATGTCAATTTTCATATTACTATACTAAAAAATTCAAATTTTATTAGTACAGTTGCCAAAAGCCCTATTAAAACCAAGAAACTTACGAGTAACATCTAGTTTATTAGCAGCAATAAGAGGTTCAATTAAAATCAACAAAGAAATATTATGAATCCTACACAGATTCCTCACTCTATCCCTAGAGAAAGAACCACCCACCTCCCTAATATTCCAAATAAAGGTACTAAACATTAGAAAATTTCTTAGATAAATTAGGAGATCTAACAACTCTAGGAGCAGAAGCCAGAATGGTTTTAATGTTTTTATTCTTTTTTTTAGAAGTGACTATAGTAAAACCGTTATTCACATTTTTTTGGCCAACATTAGAATCAGGCGTGGACTTAGGCACCTTTGGTTGATAATCCCCATCGGAAGAAGCTAGTATGTTAGCCGCCACAACAACCTCCCCTTCTTCCACATCTTCCTCCCTATTAATGATAGAGTTAGGCTCATGATATTGCCCTTTAACTTTGTTGCCAATCTCCCTGTCCTTCTCAGGCACATTATGACTGTCCCCTATAAAATTTTCCTTCGACTGACACCGTTCCAACTCTTCCTCTAGAGACACCGCAAGGGTGCCCACATGATCAAAATTTTCCACCATATTCTCCCTTCCAACACACTCGTCCTCAGCCCACGAGTCTATCTGAATAAAATTGGGTTCCCTCACAGCACCAGAAACCACCTCCAAAGGGAGATTAGTAGGATCGATTTGAGCATTATTAAAATGCTCACTAGGCATAATATCATCCTTTCCTATCAAGACTTCCTCCACCTGAGGATCCTCCACATCCATCGCTATAGGTTCACTGACATTCTCTAATTGATTGAGAGCAGAATCCTTTTCCCCACTCTCTGATTCTAACAGCTGATTGTTCGAAACAATTTGTTTATTTTTTAACAGAGGATAAGCAATAAAGCATTCAGGGAAAGAGTGACCATGAATTCTACAATGATTACAATAATCCGGGACCTTTTCAAATTCGACTCTTTGCAAATAACCCTGATTTTCAGAACCTAGCCAAACTTCTTTTCGGTGTTTTTTAGTTATATCAATTTATACGAGAATCCTAGCAACCGATGGCCTAGATCTAGTAGCCGTTGCCTGATCGGTTTGTAAAGGTCTCCCAAAAACCGAACATCTTGGTCTGTTGGTACATGTTTTCAATTTAAGGCTTCATTTGGGATTTAAAGCGACTTTTTTGTACAAAAATTTTAATTTTTGTGTTAGAAAGCTGTTTTAAGAAACAGTAAAAATGCCGTCCCAAAAGAAGCCTAAGTCTTGCGCATGTTATTTGTTTGTGAGTAGATTATTTAATTAAATTTAGGAGCATATTTTAGGTTAAAACATGAACAAGATTTTAATATGCTAAAATTAATAAATATTGACATATAGTTTCTCTTTATAAAATGAACATTTTTTTTTCATTTTAGAAAAATTAAAAGATCTACATGCACTTATATAACTATTAATATTTCAAATATTAAAATAAATAAATAGAATTATATGATTAAAAAAGTTAAAGCTTTCGCCTTTCGCTTCAATTATCCACCATAAGACATCCACTTTTGCCTATGTTGGATGGCAGTACTTATAATTTGTATGCTCAGATATAAGGAGTTCCAAGGAGTGAGATAAAAGCAGATGGAATGAAGTGTACAACTGAATTAAAAAAACTCTGGATGGATTTAATGGATACGAATGAAGCAAGTATATGATTTCCTCTAAATTAAAGGGACATGATAACGTAAGAGCGAGTAACATACAAAGTACATAAAATTAACATAGAATGAGATGATAGAATCATATATGGATAGTTCAACAATTCATACAAGATATTCAATCTATGTTGTGGCGCAATTGGTTGGTGCGAAGGTTAGTTGCATGGTGGCAAGGTCATAGCCGATATGAAAGTTTTGTTGTGCAATATTACCAAATATGTTGATAGAGTCGGCTATGGTGCCACTAGAAATCATGGCAAGGCATAAAATATTCTGCTCGGCCTCCACAAATGCATTGGGTTGTTGCAAGACTACTGATGCACCACCAGAAAATTCAAAGGTGATCTCTGGAAATTGAGCTGAAGCACCAGTCCCAGAGACATCAAAGCAAAGGTTGAAGACACCATTTGGATCTTTGACCTGGGGAAGGTTGATACTACTTTTCACGTCGCTCTCCCCAGATTGTAGTGTATTATCATCAATAAGTGTGAGAGTTGTGCCTGAGTCTATGATGATGTTGCCTTGAGCTGACCCCTTTGCTTGGATGGGCTTCCCAACGGTGACAGTCTTGCCAGCGACACTAATATGCTCAAGGTTAAGGAAGTAGAATGTGTCTGGGGAACCTGAGATCAAGGGTGTGGTAACTGCGTTGGAGCTAGAGACAACTGCATTGGAGCCAAAGTTGAGCTGACTATTTGCAGAGGTTTGGGTTGATGAGGGCATGCAATAGGAAAACTTGTTGCCAATGGTAGAGCCAAGCTGGCGGATGAGAGAGAGCTTTCCTCCACCAAGGCCAACAAGTCCAGCATCATTCTTGTCAAATGTGCCATTGCTTTGATGGGTGCAACCGAAGAGGGTTGTGGGGATTTGTACTGGACGACCACTCGTAGAGTCAAAGCCTATTGTTTCTGTAGAAAGAATGCCTTCGACAATTGACTTATCACCATAACCATATTGATAGTAGCACTGGGAGGAGGAGTCACAACTGCTTTGTGGAAGTATCGAGCAAGAATCAGTATTGCAAGGGATTGTTTTATAGCTAGAGGAAGATTGCGGGTCGAAAAGAGGGGCACTCTGAGGGTAGCAGTCTTTGCAGGGGGGCACATTGGACCCATATGAGATCACTGCCTGTGTCTGCGATGGCGAGGATCTTGTGCCAAGGTAGAAGCTCATGAGGTACTCAAAGGTGTTTGGGGTGATCTCCGAATAGAAGTTACTTGCATCGTCCATGGGGATTGCAGAGGAAGATAGATGGGCTTTGCGGATAGCATCTCGAAAGTAGATGGCACGAGAACGTGAGCGCTGAGCAGCCGCACGAATGCGGGAGGAAGGCGTGGAATTTGGGTCATGCAACGGCGACTTGGGGGAGTCGCGATGGATCAGCTCTACGGAAAAGCCACCGCTAGTACACCATACTAGACTTGGAAGATGTATGACAACAGAGAGAATGAATAGAAAGATTGCAAAACAGTATGAAGAACGAGTCATATCCCTCTAAATATGTATGTAGATGTGCGTATACGAATGTTCTTCTTACTTTTTTTTTCTCCATTGCTGCTTTGTTGCTTTGTTGGTGATAATTGTTGTGCAGAAATCAAATATTTATAGATCCACTTAACAGAACAAAGGAAGGAAATGACCAATGTTTTTATTTTATATCATTTCCTAATTAAGTTCAAAGGAAAATACAAGCAACTTGACGTGTTAATCTCCTTGCATATTTTTTCATAGATTAAGAAAAGATTACACAAGATGGTGCGTAATTTATATCAACTATTAAAATAAGTAAAAGTTTTTGATTAAAAGAGTTAAATTTATAGCTTCAATTAGCCACCAACGCCCACTTTTATCTATTTTAGATGTAGGTACTTATAATTTGTAAGCTTTGAATTCAAAAGGAATGCATATAGATTGAAATAGTGAAACACTATTCTCTATTAGAGAGATTAACATAGATGACAGATCATTAAAGCATTAACGATTTCTATGGAGTGAAAAAAAAAAGGAAATCATGTATAAGTGAATTAATTAAACTATTGCTGGATTCAGTGGATAGCAGTGAAGCAAACATATAATTCCCTGTAAATTAAAGAGAAGATAATGTAAGAGGGAGCAACATACAAAGTAGGTAAAATTAAGATAGAAAAAGACGATGGAACCATATATGGCTAGTACACTAATTCATACAAGATATTCAATCTATATTTAGGCGCAGTTGGTTGGTGCAAAAGTTAGCTGCATGGAGGCGAGGTCATAGCCAATATGGAAATTCTGTTGTGCGATATTGCCAAATATGTTGATAGAATCGGCGATGGAGCCACTAGAGATTATGGCAAGACACAAAATATTTTGCCCAGCCTCCACAAAAGCATTAGGCTGATGCCTCCACAAAAGCATTAGGCTGATGCAAAGCCACTGATGCACCACCAGAAAACTGGAAGGTGATCTCTGGAAACTGCGTTGAAGCACCAGTCCTTGATACATCAAAGCAAAGGTTGAAGACATCATTTGGATCTTTGACCTGGGGAAGGCTGATGCTACTCTTAACATTACTCTCAAGGGCTTGCAGTGTATTATCATCAATGAGTGTGAGAGTTGTGCCTGAGTCTATGATGATATTTCCTTGAGCTGACCCCTTTGCTTGCATGGGCTTCCCAACAGAGACGATCTTGCCCGCAACACTAATATGCTCAAGGTTAAGGAAGTAGAAAGTGTCTGGGGAACCAGAGATCAAGGGTGTGGTAACAGCGTTGGAGCTAGAGACAACTGCATTGGAGCCAAAGTTGAGCTGACTAGTTGCAGAGGTTTGGGTTGATGAGGGTAAGCAATATGAAAACTTGTTGCCAATGGTAGAGCCGAGCTGGCGGATGAGAGAGAGCTTTCCTCCACCAAGGCCAACAAGTCCAGCATCATTCTTGTCAAATGTGCCATTGCTTTGATGGGTGCACCCGAAGAGGGTTGTGGGGATTTGTACTTGACGACCGCCTGTAGAGTCAAAGCCTATTGTTTCTGTGGAGAGAATGCCTTCGACGATTGACTTATCACCATAGCCATATTGATAGTTGCACTGGGAGGAGGAGCCGCAACTGCTTTGTGGTAGTATCGAGCAAGAATCAGTATTGCAAGCGATTGTTTTATAACTAGAGGAAGATTGCAGATCGAAAAGAGGGGCACTCTGAGGGTAGCATTCTTTGCAGGGGACACATTGGACCCATATGAGATCACTTCCTGTGTCGGCGATGGCGAGAATCTTGTTGGCCAGAGTGCCAAGGTAGAAGCTCATGAGGTACTCGTAGGTGTTTGGGGTGATGTCCGAGTAGAAGTTGTTAGCATCATCCATGGGGAGTGCAGAGGAAGATAATCGGGCTTTGCGAATAGCATCGCAAAAGTAGATGGCATGAGAACGAGAGCGCTCAGCAGCAGCACGGATGCGGGATGAAGGCGTAGAATTTGGGTCATGTAGTGGCGACTTGGGGGAGTCGCGATGGATTAGCTCTACGGAAAATCCACCGCTGCTGCACCATACTAGATTTGGAAGGTGTGTGGCAGCAGAGAGAATGAACATCAATATTGTAAAATAGTATGAAGAACGTGTCATATCTCTCTAAATATGTAGGTATGTGTGTGTATATGAATGTTGTTCTCACTTTTATTTTTCCTTTGCTACTTTGTTGCTTTGTTGGTGGTGATTGTTGTGCAGAAATGAAATATTTATAGATCCACTTAATAGAACAAAGGAAGAAAATGAGAAATGTGTTTATTTTATATCATATTCTAATTAAGTTCAAAGGAAAATACAAGCAACGTGACGTGACTAATAAAACATTCTCTCTCTAATTATAAGTATGAAATGGCCTGCTTCAACCCTACGTATGCGTGCAACAGAGGTCGTTCAAAAATTGGACCAAATTTTTATTGTCTAAGCAATCTGAACGCAGAGTAAGATTCGGATGCTAGCTGCGTATTTATTGCTTATTTAACCGCGTATTTTTTATACATAGTTTTTTTCTACGTATTTTTTTGCGTATTTATTGTGTATTTAATGAGTATTATTTTTTTTACATATTTATTGTGTATTTAGTGAGTATTATTTATTTGCTATTTATTTGCCACGAAAAACTTATGTTTAAAAAAATACGTAGTAAAATAAACAGTAAATACGCAGCATCCGAACTTTACTCTGCGTTCGTATTGTGTACACAATAATTTCTCCTTTTCGATGACATAATATTTATATATCCATATCAATCGTACGATACGTGCGGCAAATGATATATAAAAGACAATTAATTTGATTTTTTTTTCTTTCAATCAAAGGATGCTAATTCTGAATTAATAAATGATTTAATTTGTTTTCGGCAATACGCTTGGGAAGGCTGACTATTATTTTCGAAATTAAAAAACGATTTAATTTGTTTCATCTAATGCAGCCAAAAATGTCGTGAAGAACCTTTTGTATTTAATTTAAGCCTATTTAAGATCTCTTTATATATATATTTTAAATCATAACATAAGAATTACATATTCATTGTGTTTATTTATTTTTTATGATAATTTAATTTTTCATTAATTATATAAAAAATATTATTTTTATGGCCAATATTTTAATATTTTCATTAATATTAATCAAAAGTTTACTAAAAATTTTCTAAGGACTTTTCTTTAAAAAATTTAGTTTGAGGAAGAATTTCCATCAATTTCTTCATTTGCTTCACTTTTGTTCTCCATATCACAACATTTTGACCAAGGAGCTTCCATTGAGGTTGGATCTATTCTTCATATAATATTTATTTCCCAATCATTTTTTTTGAAAGAAAGCACTTTTATTCCAAAAGAGAAAAGGATAATACAACAAGGACCCAAAGAGTGCTGAATCCAAAAAATATCAGAAAATAGATAATGTAAGTAAACTCAACAAAAAGACAATCAAAGAGGCAAGAGCAGAAGAACACCCAATGGACTCAGAGGATGGCGAAGCTCCCTGCAATCAACCCACAACCATGTTCAGACCATCCATTGGTGATAACCACTAAAAAACACAACAACAATCAACAACCCACTCAAGCAAACACCAACCAGAAGAACATACCACCAAGGTTGCCAAAGATCCCTTACCACCAAGATGACAAGTAGGGAACCGCCTCATCATCATCCAAAAATGCCAAAAGAGCCCACAGCAACAAGAAAAAGTTAAACCAAAAATTATTTCTTCTTAGTTTTACTTTTCCATCTCTTGCCACCATCATTGAGTACTGCTTGATCAGCTACATACCCTACCATAAAATTATACATATCATCATTGACATGATCACCAAAATCATCACCCTCCCCCCACAAGACGTAGGAAGGGGCTCATCCAAATACAACCAATCAGATTGATCCAAAATAGAATTATTCAATGACTAGGCCAGATGGTCTTTTAATTTTGCATTCGATATAACATAAATAGGAACCTCAACAAACTCCTCATTTCCCTTCGAGCCATTCACAATCGAAAATAGATCTGAATCAACATCTCCAAGGGGCAACACAACTAAAGTATTACCCACCTCAGCCAAAGTTTCATAACCAAAAAAACTGAAGTATCACCTGATTCCACGGCATCAGCACTAGAAGGGCTAGCACTAAGATTAATAAAATAATTATTAATTTTCAAAGAACCATCAACTCCCTCAACATTAGCTATATATTAATGCATTTCATAGGTAAAGGTGTCACAACTTCCCCAACACAAGCAAAAGGCAATGGGACATCAGCATCCCCGACAATAGAGGGACCCAGAACCATAATAGGTCCTCGTTCCAGGCCCAAATCATTAACACCAACAGCTAAAACAATGTCGCCAGCAGCCGAAACAATCAGGCTAGTAGGGGCAAAAAGCACAGATAATCCATTAACACGTCCTCCATCAACAAAAGGCACTATTTGAGATAACATGACCAACAAAGGTCAAAACCACAGGTACATCATCACCCAAAAGAACATTTGTTTCCACCAGATTTACATCATCCTTCGAATCCTCCATGACCCCTTATTCATTAGCAACCAAGGATGAGACAACCAAATCATTACTTTTAGCACACCCAATAGAAAAAATAGGAACGTGAGAGTTCAAAACAGGTAAATCGTCAGAGGAATTATAATACTCACCCTTAAGATGACCATGACGCTTGCACGACTCGTAGAAAACAAGAAATACTTCCATTTGCACCCTTTGAACATACCCAGACTTCTCATGCCCAAGCCAGATTTTCTTAGGAAAATTTTTCGTAATGTCCAGTTCCACTAATACTTGCGCAAGAGAAGGCCTAGAGCCGACAGAGTCTATTTTCAAGGGACGACTGAACATAAAACCTAGAGCATGAAGGATACGAGGAAGAAAAAAGGGTTTTTCAGATTGGAAAAGAAAATCCCAGATCGGAATGACCGAAGATTCAACACTAACATCTATAAATAGAGACCATTTTGTGAGTTTCATGAAGCAATTGTTCACCAAATAGGATCTATGGTAAAAAACTCTACTATAATCAAGGTTATTAGAAGGCTTAATAAAAACATGAGACTGATCAAGAAAAGTCACAGAGAATTCGACATTGAGCTTCAAATTAAAGAAAAATTTTTGAATTGCATCCAGAGAAGGATGATGCGTAGTGAAAAAAACCAACTAGAGAAAATAGAAAGGTACAAAAAGAGCACAAATTTCTTCATTCAAACTCCACAGGGAGGGAAATCCACAGAACGAGCAATGTTGAAGCTCAAGAAAAAAAGCAGAAGGCAGAGAACCAGAAAGAGCATCAACAAACGACCGCGATTTGAAAGACCCATCCAAAAAATCGGGGTCATAAACACGAACCGCCATTCAGGCTGGGAATGACCAGAGGTGGAAGAGACGAGGTAGTCAAACCATAACAAACAAAAAATAAAACAAAGCAACAAAGAATAAGGGAAGGAAGCCTCCTGCAAGAAGCGACACAAGATCCAGAGGAGGAAATCGCGCCAAAAGAGCAGCTAGGTCCTCCCTAGCGGAAAGGAAGCACCGTCGCGAGAGTTGCTGAGCCATCGATAAGTTTTGACATTGAAAATGATATTTATTTTCCAACCATAATCTTTAGATAACATGAAAATTAGGGTGAAAGATCTAGCATAATTAGGGTTCCATTTCACTGTTGTCATGATGTCAAATTGAATGATGTGGGACTAAATTAGTGCTCTCCAATGAAGCAAAATTCTTATATGTAATAAATGATGATACATAAGCAACTTGGTCCTAAATCTATGCACACATGTGATCCTAAGGTTCAGTAAAGCAATATAGGGAGGCTAATGCAAGAGTAGTCTTAAAAACTCCATTTTGCCTTATTAGTCAGATGAAGGATGGAAATAAAAGTGGCACTTGAAGAAGTTTATAACATGATAGACGTGAAAAAATAATTGTCAAGATGAAGTCAGCATAATGAGAAGTATAAAGAGTAATGTCAGGAAAATAGAGGCAATTACCACCAATGAATCATCCCCATCAAGATGATTTAAATTTGAGGTCAACATGTTGAGAACTATGGAGGATACCATTAAAGACATCCTAGGATGGATGCTCATCATCTCTATATGTAGAGAATGTTGGGAGTAAACAAAGATCAAAACAACAAGAAAACAACAAAGATTAGCACTCTTCGGTGATGATGGTCTCATACAAGAATTATCTCAAAATGATCTTTGGTGTCGGGCGAAGGGTTTGCATTCACGGTGATTTGGCACTAGTCAGATGACCGAAAGTTAGCAATCGACACAAATTCCTAATTATTATCACTATGAAGATCAATCTTAGCAAGAAGGGAAACTTTTGCTAAGTAAGAGTAGTGTCATCTTTATTGAACTTGATATCAAGGGTTGTAAGTTCATGGGTAAGATTAACATTCAATTCGTCATCAAGACCAAAAGGTTAATCTCCAAGTTAATAATGGTATCATTATTATTAAGTTTTTATCATTTATTTTGTTTTTCCAAAATTTGTGGATTATCATTCAATGACATACTGTGGATAGGATATCGTTGATATTATGATAAAATTTAGAACAATCGATATAAATATGATCAAATATATGGTCGCGAGTGCATTATTAATGGAGATTTTTAAAAATAAAATTTTAATAATAACCATTTTTTTTAATAACATATCTAGCAAAATAAATCAAGATTTTTAGAATCAATCATCTCAATAAGAATAAAGGAATCAGAAAGCTAAGACAATTAACAAAGGTAGAGTTTGCCTGCAAAATTTTCAAAGTATTTTAATAATAGAAAATAAATTTTGTTGATTAATTAACTAAAACAAAAGTCTAGAAAAATAAATCAAAATTGGGGTAACTATTGATTCATTTGTCACTTAAAAAAGGGAAATCACTTTTGGATTTCGAACATAAAATTCTAGCATAAATTCTATTAATTGACATTTGTAAAAATTTGAAAAAAAAAAATAAAAAATGGTAATTAGAAATCTTCAAAACTACTCTAATTCTAAGAAAAAATTCCTAAGAATTTGAGGTGCACACATATAGCAAAAAACATTTCAATCAAATTTGAAAAAAAAAATAAAAAATGGTAATTAGAAATCTTCAAAACTACACTAATTCTAAGAGCTTATCCCAAAAAAATCATAGATTTTTTACACTTGAAAATCAATAATATAAAAAATGATTTAATAATAAAAAGGCATATATTTGTTATCATATAGTGAAGATAAATAGAGCATAACAAGAAGTTAGCTTGCAAATATCAAATTGAAGACCAAACAAAAGGCTGGTGATGAGATACACGAGAACCTCTACAGAGAAACCCCACTCATAAGCACAATGACGTAAAAAATATTATATATATAAACCCTTCTTAATCTCCTTGGATATTTTTTCATTGATTAAGAAAATATTTCGCAAGATTTTACGTAATTTATATAAACTATTAAAATAAGTAAAAGTTTATGATTAAAAGAGTTAAAGTTATAGCTTCAATTAGCCACCATAAGACGTCCACTTTTATCTATTTTGGATGTAAGTACTTATAATTTGTAAGCTTTGAATCCAAAAGGAATGCATATAGATTGAAATAGTGAAACACTATTCTATATTAGAGAGATTAAAATAGATGGCAGATCATTAAAGCATTAAGGATTTCTATGGAGTGAAAAAAAAAATGTGAATCATGTGTGTAAGTGAATTAAATAAACTATGGATGGATTCAGTGGATAAAAGAAAAGCAAACATATAATTCCCTGTAAATTAAAGAGAAGATAATGTAATGGGAAACAACATACAAAGTAGGTAAAATTAAGATAGAATAAGATGATGGAACCATATATGGCTAGTACAATAATTCATACAAGATATTCAATCTATATTTAGGCGCAGTTGGTTGGTGCAAAAGTTAGCTGCATGGAGGCGAGGTCATAGCCAATATGGAAGTTTTGTTGTGCGATATTGCCAAATATGTTGATAGAATCGGTGATGGAGCCACTAGAGATTATGGCAAGGCACAAAATATTTTGCCCAGCCTCCACAAAAGCATTAGGCTGTTGCAAAGCCACTGGTGCACCACCAGAAAACTGGAAGGTGATCTCTGGAAACTGCGTTGAAGCACCAGTCCCTGAGACATCAAAGCAAAGGTTGAAGACATCATTTGGATCTTTGACCTGGGGAAGGCTGATGCTACTCTTAACATTACTCTCAAGGGCTTGCAGTGTATTATCATCAATGAGTGTGAGAGTTGTGCCTGAGTCTATGATGATATTTCCTTGAGCTGACCCCTTTGCTTGCATGGGCTTTCCAACAGCGACGACCTTGCCTGCAACACTAATATGCTAAAGGTTAAGGAAGTAAAATGTGTCTGGGGAATCGAAGATCAAGGGTGTGGTAACAGCATTGGAGCTAGAGACAACTGCATTGGAGCCAAAGTTGAGCTGACTAGTTGCAGAGGTTTGGGTTGATGAGGGCAAGCAATATGAAAACTTGTTGCCAATGGTAGAGCCGAGCTGGCGGATGAGTGAGAGCTTTCCTCCACCAAGGCCAACAAGTCCAGCATCATTCTTGTCAAATGTGCCATTGCTTTGATGGGTGCACCCGAAGAGGGGAGTGGGGATTTGTACTGGACGGCCGCCTGTAGAGTCAAAGCCTATTGTTTCTGTGGAGAGTATGCCTTCGACAATTGACTTATCACCATAGCCATATTGATAGTTGCACTGGGAGGAGGAGTCGCAACTGCTTTGTGGTAGCATCGAGCAAGAATCAGTATTGCAAGCGATTGTTTTATAGCTAGAGGAAGATTGCGGGTCGAAAAGAGGGGCACTCTGAGGGTAGCATTCTTTGCAGGGTTCACATTGGACCCATATGAGATCACTTCCTGTGTCGGCGATGGCGAGAATCTTTTTGGCCGGAGTGCCAAGGTAGAAGCTCATGAGGTACTCATAGCTATTTGGGGTGATCTCCGAGTAAAAGTTGCTAGCATCGTCCATTGGGAGTGCGGAGGAAGACAGATGGGCCTTCCGAATAGCATCGCGAAAGTAGATGGCACGAGAACGAGAGCGCTCAGCAGCCGCACGGATGCAGGAGGAAGGCGTAGAATTTGGGTCATGTAGCGGCGACTTGGGGGAGTCGCGATGGATTAGCTCAACAGAAAAGCCACCGCTGCTACACCATACTAGATTTGGAAGTTGTGTGGCAGCAGAGAGAATGAATAATAATATTGTAAAATAGTATGAAAACATGCCATATCTCTATAAGTATTGATACGGCATCACTCGTGGTTTTTCCCTTTTTAAGGGTTTTCCACGTAAAAAATCTTGTGTTCTCTGTGTGTGAGCTAGTTATACGTACAACGTTAAGACGCAGAATTAAATCTCTATTGCCGCGTATTTTCTAGTCCGCAACAAGTATGTAGGTATGTGTGTGTATATGAATGTTGTTCTCACTTTTGTTCCTCCTTTGTTGCTTTGTTGGTGGTGATTGTTGTGCAGAAATCAAATATTTATACATCCACTTAACTTAACGAAGGAGGGAGATGGCTAATGTTTTATTTTATATAATTTCCTAAATAAGCTCAAAGGAAAATACATGCAACATGACGTGACTAATAAAACATGCTCTCTCTAATTATAAATATGAAATGGCTTGTGTTAACCCTTTTTCTTTTACGTTAGCGTGCAATAGAGGTCGTTCAAAATTTGGACCAATTTCTTAATTTCCGATGACATATAATATTTATATATCCATATCAATAGTACGTACGGCAAATGATTTATAAAAGACAAACAATTAATTTGATTTTTTTTTCAATCACAGAATGCTAATTCTGAATTAATAAATGATTTAATTTGTTTTCTGCAAAACGCTTGGGAAGGCTGACTATTATTTTCCAAATTATTAAAAAATGATTTAATTTGTTTTATCTAATGCAGCCAAAATGTCTTGAAGAATAACCTCTATATTTAATTTAGCCTGTTAAAGGTCTCTCTCTTTTTTTAATTATAGCATAAGAATTACATATTCTTTGTGTTTATTTTTTTTTTTTATGAAAATTTAATTTTTCATTAACTATATAAAAATATTATTTATATGGCCACGATTTTAATATTTTCATTAATATTAATCAAAAGTTTACTGAAAAAATTCTAAGGACTTTTCTTTAGAAAAATTTAGTTTGGGGAAGAAATTCCATCAGAATTCCCGATTTTATCATTTGCTTCTCTATCTCTTTTTATATTTTTTTTAATTATTTTTTATTTTTTTATCATTTGCTTCTCTCTTGTTCTCCATTTCACAACATTTTGACCAAGAAACATTTTGCCCCTCCAATTGATTACAACTCATAAAAACAAAGAGAAAACTGACTCAATAACCTCGCAACACCACGATGTTGGACCTACAACGCCTCGATGTTGGCTCCTCTATCTCAAAATAGTTCCATGCACAGCGTTGCAATGCTATATCCATAATGCCTCTCCGTTGAGCCCTCTTTCATATAAGGGATTCATATCATGTTGGCGTTATATTTATAGCTTGATTAATGGAATTAAGATTTGAGTCAATAGTATAATCTAATTGATTGATACAATTAGATTCCATAAAGAACTAACAAGGAAAGAATTATCAATCTATATAGAGGACAAAATAGGAGCCTCAATGTTAAACTAAGGAGAAACTAAGGAGTAGAATCTGAAATTAATGGACGCAGTGCACAAGTATTATTAAAATCATTCAATTAATACTAATTTCTTAAAAAATCATTAAAATCATTCAATTAATACTAATTTCTTAAAAAAAAAAAAGAGTCGTATAATCCTTCAAAAGAATTTTTTGAGAACATATTTTATTGAGCAAAGCTATTGAGAACTTTGTAATAAATTGCATGGTTAGCAAAATAGGTCAAATAGATTGAAGAGAAATATTACCAAGAACTTTTAGGCAGAGGCCAATTTCAAAGGGTTTACTAAGTTGGCGAGAAAATTACTCAAAATAGAAGTAGCTAATATACTTCACCATGACGTCGAGAAGTGGGGCTGTTGACTAGGAGAGAAAAAGGTTGAAGTGGCATTACTTGAAGGCATAATCATTTTTTTTTTATAACAAAACTAATATATTAAGATAAACAAAACGGTTACAACAGCATAAGACCGAAAAAACAAAGAAAAATAAAGGCACATGATACAACCAAAAGTGGGCTCAGTATTCGGTCGAGGCTTCCAGCATCCCCGAAGCCTCGCACGGACCATCCATAAGGTGAAGTCAGTGCCAAATATCCAACTAACTCAAAAAACAACACCAAAGGTTGCGACCAGCTCGACGACAAGGAGGCGAGCCTCAGCACATCATTGCCCCAAAAATCAGTGCACCACCCAAGGCATAATCATGAAGGCATAATCATGAATATACTTGAAGGCATAATCATGTAATGTTGAGTGAACCCACAAATAATATTCATGAAAGATCTAGCTATATCAGACAATAATCATTGGGTGGCTAATAGCAGTGGATTAGACATCAGGAGAGGAGAAGAGCCACATTCCTTCCCCAAAAATTAGATGCACTCTTCGATGATGATGGTCTTGTAAAATCCACTATACAAAAACCTAGGTAATAATGTAAATTAATATATATATATATATATATTAAGGGGATATATATATATCAAATATTAAAATAAATAAGCATAATTATATGATTAAAAAGGTTAAATTTATCGTTTCAAATAGCCACTATAAGACGTCCACCTTTGCCTGTTTGGATTGCGGTGCTTAGAATTCGTAGCTCTCAATCCAAAAGAAACAGTGAACACTATTCCATACTTGAGAGTTTAATAAACATATAAGATTAGTGAAGCACGTAAGGAGTTATCTGGAGTGACACAAAAGAGAATTTTTATTGCATCCTCCCACCTGACATAGAGATACGTCCTCCCACCGCCAAAAAACTCGGTTTTTACTCGGTATTGCTACGTATTATTTGATGATAACGAGGAATATCATCATGTGAAGACCAATACCGAGTTATACCGAGCAATACCGAGCAATACAAAAAAATACCGAGTTTTTTCTAGGAAAAACTAGGTATTTTTTTGTTTTGCTCGGTATAGCTCGGTATAACTTGGTATTGGTCTTCACATGATGATATTCCTCGTTATTGTTTGGTATTGCTCGGTATTTGCTCGGTATTTCTCATTTTTTAGCGCGATTTTAGCTCTGGGAGGACGTATCTCTACGTCAGGTGGGAGGACGCAATAAAAAGGCCGAAATCATGCGTGCAAGTGAATTAAATAAACTATGGATATAAACGGATAAAAGTGAAGCAATCCGATGATTTGCTACAAATTAAAGATAATTGAAAATGTAAGGGCAAAGTAGGTAAAGTTAAGATAGGATTAAGAAATATTATATGAAGAGTTCAACAACTCATATAAGATATTAAATCTATAGTGTGGCGCAGTTGGTCGGTGCGAAGGTTAGCTGCATGGTGGCGAGGTCATAGCCAATATGGAAGTTCTGCTGTGCAATATTATCAAATATGTTGATAGAATCACCGGTGGCGCCGCTAGAGATCATGGAAAGACACAAAATATTTTGCCCAGCATCGATAAAAGCATTGGATTTTTGCAAGACCACTGATGCACCACCAGAAAATTGAAAGGTGATCTCTGGAAATTGAACTGAAGCCCCATTCCCGGAGACATCAAAGCAAAGGTTGAAGACACCATTTGGATCTTTGACTTGGGGAAGGCTGATGCTACTCTTCAGGTTGCTCTCCAAAGATTGCAACGTATTATCATCAATGAGTGTGAGAGTTGTGCCCGAGTCGATGATGATGTTGCCTTGGGCAGACTCCTTTGCCTGCATGGGCTTCCCAACAGCGATGGTCTTGCCAGCCACACTAATATGCTCAAGGCTAAGGAAATAAAAGGTGTTCGGTGAACCAGAGATCAAGGGTGCGGTAATGGCGTTGGAGCCAGAGACGATAGCATTGGAGCCAAAGTTGAGTTGGCTCGTTGCAGAGGTCTCAGTTGATGAGGGCAGACAATAGGAAAATTTGCTGCCAATGTTGGAGCCAAGCTGGCGGATGAGAGAGAGCTTTCCTCCACCCAAGCCAACGAGTCCAGCATCATTCTTATCAAATGTACCATTACTCTGATGAGTGCAACCAAAGAGAATTGTGGGGATTTGTACCGGACGTCCACCAGTAGAGTCAAAGCCTATTGTTTCTGTCGAGAGATAGCCTTCAACGATTGACTTGTCACCATAGCCATATTGATAGTCACATTGGGAGGAGGAGCCACAACTGCTCTGTGGTAGCAGCGAGCAAGAATCAGTATTGCAGGGGATTGTTTTGTAGGTCGAGGAAGATTGTGGATCAAAAAGAGGGGCACTTTGGGTGTAGCATTCTTTGCAAGGGACACATTGGACCCATATTAGATCGCTACCCTTGTCGGCGATGGCAAGTACCTTGTTGGCTGGAGTGCCAAGGTAAAAGCTCATGAGGTACTCGAATGTGTTAGGGGTGATATCTGAGTAGAAGTTATTAGCATCGCCCATGGGGAGTGCAGAAGAAGACATACAAGCCTTGTGGATGGCATTGCGAAAGTAAATGGCACGAGAACGAGAGCGCTCAGCAGCTGCACGGATGCGAGAGGAAGGTGTTGAATTTGGGTCATATAGCGGCGACTTGGGGGAGTCACGATGTATGAGCTCTACGGAAAACTCATTGCTACTACACTACGCAAGAATTGGAAGGTGTGTGGCAACTAAGAAAATGAACAAAGAGATTGCAAAAGAGTAGACAAAATATGTCATATCTCTTTTTATATGTTTGTGTGTTTCTGAATGTTGTTCTTGCTTTTTTGTTTTCTTTGTTGCTTCGTTGGTGGTGATTATCCCGCAAAAATCAGGTATTTATAGATCCACTTAATAGAAGGGACTAGGGAAATACATAGTGTTTTTCTATTACTATTTTATATTATTTCTAAATGAGGAAGGAAAATACAACCAACATGGCGTGAGTAATAAAACATGCTCTCTATGACATATTCTTCTGCGGTGATAAAATTGAAACTAATTATAAATTAGAAATGGCGTGCGTCTACCATTTTCCTTAATGTGAATTGTGAACGTGCAGAAGAGAAGATCAACCTATTTTCTTTGAATTTCAAAATTAGCATTATTATTATTATTATTATTGTTGCGGGCTAGAATATACGCGGCGATAGAGTTATAATTCAACG